TGGGGGCCGCTGCCTCTCGCAAGCTGGGAGGAGGATGCGGGACTGGCATCGACAGATGCTCCCTCCAGGGGGGCTGGGTTAAGCCAGACTGCGGAGAGGGTCGCACGGGAGGAAGGGAGGCCATTCCTGGCGCCTGGGCCTCGCCCCGGGGGACCATGCCAGGGACCTCTCTCTGTCCCCACAGTCCATCTCGGGTTTCGCGCACAGCTGCTTCCAGTATGCCATCCAGAAGAAGTGGCCCCTCTACATGAGCACCAAGAACACCATTCTGAAAGCCTATGACGGGCGCTTCAAGGACATCTTCCAGGAGATCTTTGACAAGTAACAGCCTCTCCCTTTGCTGCTCCCCAGGGCCTCCACAGCCCTTCCTCCCTGTGCCTCCAGCCCCATCCTACTGGGGCGCTCGCTATCCCAGGGTGTTCGGCACAGCTCTGAGGCTCAGGGAGGGATCCCCAACCTGTCAGCCTCCTGCCCTCTCCCCACAACAGGCCCTTCTGCTCGTAGGCACTATAAGACCGACTTCGACAAGAATAAGATCTGGTACGAGCACCGGCTCATTGATGACATGGTGGCTCAGGTCCTCAAGTCTTCCGGCGGCTTTGTGTGGGCCTGCAAGAACTACGACGGAGACGTGCAGTCGGATATCCTGGCCCAGGGTATGCTGGGAACACCTGCTCCCTGTGGGGATGGACTGTTGGTCTTCTCTTGGCTGGGGGGCTTTTCAGACCCTTTTGGTAGAAAACTTCTCCAGTGTAGCAGCGGAACTGCGGCTTGCCTGCCCTTTGCAGGCTCCCCTGTGGACAGCAGGGGGCAGGAGCTCCCTGGCCTCTGAGTGAGGAAGGGCCACACAAATTACGTTTGGACTGGTGTATTACTAAGGCTGCTGACACAGAGAAAGGACGCAGGAATTCCAGTTCTAAAGGGCTGGGTGTGTCCGCTCTCGGGTTGTTCCTGTCTATGAAGGGGCCCCGTGACTGTGTTGGCTCCAGGTTTGGACTAGGTTTGGCTCGAGCAGAACTGGATGTTCTTTAAATTACAGAGAATTTGGTTTGCACAGTAAGCCTTTTTGGATGTAGGAGAATAGTGGGGAAGATGGCAGACCCCCAAGCCCTAGGGTGTTCTGAAGGACGAATTGGATTGCAGCAGAAAGCGTGGGTGAGGCCGTTAGAGAAGAACTGTGAGAAATCATCCAATCGTGTTGGGAACAGGAGCAGGAGCAGGAAAGGTGGTGGGAGTCAGCTATGTGTAAAACATAGGGATGGAGAAGCACGGTCACGTGGGATGGGGTGAGGTCCAGCCCCTGGGAGGAGAAAGGAGGCCCATGCCAGGCTGCCATGAAAGGCAGTGGGTCTCAATGCTTTATAAAACCTCTGGCTTTATTTTGAAAAGTTCAGTGGTGATCCTCTCTCTAGAACCCTTCCCATCTCAGATGGAAGGGTGGAAAGCCATAGCAGGCAAGAGCAAGGCATGAAAGTTACCCTTATGTACATAAGTAGTCGGTGAGTGGGAAGGTGCAGGTAACGATGGAGAAGGCGTCCCCCTTCCCCTGCCCCCACAGCAGAATTTCTTAGACAAGTAATTTTCCTCCTTATTTTGGTGCCATGGAGTACTTTCGAAGCCCGGGAGACCTGGACAACAGAAAAGGTCAACACCTGGATTTGCAAAAATTTGGAAATAAGTCACAAAGCTTTAAAGTAGCCTAAAACAGCAGCACATAAAGTGATGGGGGTGGCCTAGCCGGGAGCAGGCTTTATCCTTTCTGCTTGAAAATGAGCCTTTTGGTCACGAGCCAGGCTGGGTGGGCAGAGCTCTGTGGGGGTCTCGGGCCCTGGGGGCCACAGGCTCTGGGACGCCTGGCGGTGGGGACACAGATGTATGCCAACGGGCTGATGATAGCCACCTTTGAGTGGCTATCAACTGGAGACCACGACAAGGGTGGACAGTCCTGTCCTCCCATACAGTTGGGGGTGGGTGGAGACAGCCGCTGAGAGGCAGCTATGATAGCAAGAGGGCTGCTGGGCTCCACCCTGGGGGTCCTAGGAAAGGCACTGGCACTGAGCGGAGGGTCCTCCCCCTCTTCAGGCTTCGGCTCCCTTGGCCTGATGACGTCCGTGCTGGTCTGCCCAGATGGGAAGACCATCGAGGCTGAGGCTGCTCATGGGACAGTCACCCGCCACTATCGGGAGCACCAAAAGGTGAGTGTGGGGCCCGTGGCCACATGCCTGTCTACCCGAGGGGCCCAGAAGCCACTGGCAGGACGGGCCTGGCCCTGTCAGTTTAGGGATGGGCAGCTCCGTCCAGGTGGCCCCCTCGTTGCCTGGTTCAGCTCTTGATCCCCTTGTGACCCCACCCCCAGGGCCGGCCTACCAGCACCAACCCCATCGCCAGCATCTTTGCCTGGACGCGTGGCCTGGAGCACCGGGGGAAGCTGGACGGGAACCAGGACCTCATCAGGTGAGTGCAGAGAGTGGGGCCTGAGCTGGCCCATGGCAGGTTCTGGACCCTGGCTCTGCACAGCTGGGGTTTCACTCTGCCCCGTCTGTCCCCTGCAGGTTTGCCCAGACGCTGGAGAAGGTGTGCGTGGAGACAGTGGAGAGCGGAGCCATGACCAAGGACCTGGCAGGCTGCATTCACGGCCTCAGCAAGTGTGTGGCCTCGGGAAGAGGGCAGGGCTGGCCTTCCGGGACCTCAGGGCCGGGTGGGAAGAAGCCAGAGGACCCCTCTTGAGGCCCTCCCCTGAGTCAGCTTAGCTGCCAGGGGCTTGGGGCAGGACAGGTCCACAGTCCTGAGGGATGCCTCAGGCCAGGCCTTCCCAGACCAGGCCCAGGAGTTGGTCCTCATGCCTGAGGCCAGGGGCTCAGAGCCTTTCCACCCCTCCCGCACCCATCTCCCAGGAGGGCTTGTGCCCAGTTGCCTGGTCACCTAGAAAAGCAAACAGACCCTAGCAAGGTCCTGCTGAGTTTGCCGTGGCCCTCTGGCCGTGGGCTATAAGTAACCTCTGACCTATGGCCTGGGTGTGCCCCTCCCCATGGGGGGACGAGAGGCTCTGCCCTGGGAGGGTCAGGCCGGGGGGCCCCTCACGTGCGTGTTCTCTCGGCAGTGTGAAGCTGAACGAGCACTTCCTGAACACCTCGGACTTCCTGGACGCCATCAAGAGCAGCCTGGACAGAGCCCTGGGCCAGCAGTAGCGGGCAGGGGCGCCGCGGGCCGCGTATGGACGCCAAGCTGGGCCGGGCGGGCGGGCCGCGGCTGCTCCCGGCCCCTCGCAGGAGGCCTTTGTGGGGGACGTTTTTTATAAGCGAGATGTTTTTAGAAGTCTCTGTCTGTGTTTGCCCTCACGGTGACGTGAGGCCGCAGCAGCCTGTTTACCTCAGCCGGTCAGTATGTTTCACATACTGTAATTTATATCGCCCCTGGAGCACATGGTGCCATATTTAGCTACTAAAGAGCTCTTCACAAAACCGTCTGCTGTGTGTGTACCTGAGGGGAAGGAGGTGGCCGCAGCATAAGGCCGAGGGCTCCGAGATTCGGCCAGGGACAGACCCGAGTGCTTCAGGCCACCATAGTGTCCGTCTTAGGCCTCTGTCCAGTCAGAGGGCCACCAGGGCGGGGGCAGGAGGCCCGGGCAGCGGCGTGAGCCCCCTGCAGTCCACAGGAGTGGCCTGGGCTGCCGCCGGGGCTCTTGGAACGCAGGCCTGTGGTTCCCTGGAATTTCCCGGCACGATTCGGTTCCTATATCCTGTTCTCCATTTTAGGATTGTTGTTATTTCCCGATAGAATCTGGTTACGTTTTTATTTATTTTTTTCCTTTGTTGCTTTTAACCTCTTAAACATCTCCAGGCCTCTTTATCTGCCTTTCTCTTGGTCCTCAAAACAGGTCCCAGCCAGGAGCTACCTCTCCACTCTCCTCCACAGCCGCCTGAGGCTGGGGGTGGGGAGGGTGAATGGGGGCCCCCACGCAGTTGAGGCCATTGGGTCCCAGGCTTGGGTTCATCTTCACCATTCTTTGACAAAACTAGAAAAGTTAGGTTATAAAGATGCTGGAAAGCTGACTAGATCCAACTAAAGGGTCATCTTTTACGCAGGGGTTGATCATACAGTCATGCGCCGCATAACAACGCTTTGGTGAACGATGGACCGCATACAGGCTGGTGGTCCCATAAGATCAGTACCATAGAGTCCAGGCGTGGAGTGGGCTGTATCCACTAGGGTTGTGTAAGTGCACTCTGTGATGTTCGCATGACAAAATCGCCTAAGGGTGCATTTCTCAGAGCAAATCCCCGTCGTTAAGCGACGCATGACTGTAATGTACTTTGGGTGTTAAAATGTCCTGGGGAAGAGTTGTGTCATCTTCACTTGATGAAATAAATACTTGGCAGCCCACAGTCCATTTCCCAGATTTTGGGGGAACTCTCACGGCTCCTGAAACCCAACACGTGGGAACCTGGGTAGCTTTGAGATGGGCTCTAGCACCCCCCCCCCCCCACACTGGTGGCCCCCTTCCGTTCCAACAACCGCTCTTCCTCAGTAGTCGCACCCAGCTCCCAGCGCCGTGGAAAGAAAAGCTGGTGTGCTGGCTCTGCTAGGCCCAGCTCCTGCGGGGAGGTCCAAGGTTTCCAGCCCCTTCTTGCTCATCAGTCGCAAAGGGCTGGCAGCTCCCCAGAATGCACAGCCTCAGAAGCCCGGTCTGGCATTGTGAGCTGGCGTCTGTCCTGGTGCTCTGTTGGTGGGTAAGGAGGGGCAGTGGCTTTTCTCTGCAAGTGGTGGGAATTCTGGGGGGGCTTGGCCCATGCCCCCTCTCCTGCGCCTGGAGCAGGTCGCCGTGGCAGCCTGGCCCTGCAGGTGGCCATTCCAGTGCGAGGCTGGTCTGGGTCTCCTCCAGGTCCTTGCAGAGTGATGCCCCGCTGTGTGGGGCTGGGAAGCCTTACTGACAGTTTATTCCGGGGGAGGGGTGAGGACCTCGTCCCCAAGAACCATGGGAAGAAGCACCCGCAGTCACCTCACTAAAGAATATCCATTTATTTATAATTATTGCTAAGTAAACTTCTCTTTTTAAACAGGAACGTAAAAACACAGTAGGGCTTTGCACAAGTGGAATTTCTAAACAGTTGGTTTGTATACATGTCAAAATAAGTTAGAATGGAATTCGTCCAGGAGTTTCCAAGTCACCCAAGAGGCCGCGTGCGCCTCTCTCGAAAAGGTCGGGCAGGAGTGAGGACGGGAGCCTTGCCGAGACCACCCCCCGGCTCAAGTCGTGAGTTGTGCTGCTTCCTTCTCGAAGTTTTGCCCAGGTCCAAGGCACAGGGCAGGGGGGCGTTCAAGTATGGAACCTCGCAGAGGGCCGCGCTGCTGGCGGGGCGGGGTGTAGGGGGGGAGGAAAGCCCCACCCTGGGGGCCAGACCTTCTCCCTTGGGTTGCCAAGACCAAGGCCACTGGGCTGGCAGGAAAGAGGAGGAGGAAGGGGTGGAGGTACAGGGTTCTTTTTGGTACCAGGGGACAAAGACGTTGTGGGAAGAGGTAGTTTGCAGGGGACGATGCTTCTGCTCAGCAGGAGAAAATGTCTTCTACAGTGACGGCGTCACTGCCACCTGAGGGTCATCATGGCGGGCACCTGGGAGGCCGGGGGGCCTCGGGGTCTGGAGAGCCACACTTGGGAAGAGGCTCCCATGAGCCCCCAGCCCTCTTGTTTGCTGCTTCACACCAACTCCAGCAGAGAAGGAAGAGGCCCCTTGTGCTCCCCCTCAGACCTGATCCCGGCCACCCTGAGGCCTAGCTTGGTCCTTCACTAAGGACACAGCCTGGGGGGGTAGCTGCATTTCAAACTGGTTATCCCACCCCTGGCTGTTCCCCCCCGCTGCCTGGTTTCTGGGCTGAAGCTGGTGGCTTCACCTCCTTCTGTGCCTTTGGGGACGGCCCTGCCTGCCCTTCCCCTCTGAGGCCTCAGGAGGTGAGCGGGCAGGAGTCTGGGTGCCCTGGCATTCCTGAATGTGCTATTTCACTGCCTTGGGCCTGTCTGGGGTTCCAGGGACAGGAGCTGGTGTGGGGACAGAGGCAATGAGTGGGCAAGCGAGGGAGCGAGCCTCTGGCTGAGCAGGATGGAGCGGCCCTGGCCACTGCAGGGGTGATGCAGAGGGTCATCAGCAAGAGGGGCCGGGCAGGGTAGGGGGAGGGCCCGCTCAGCCCTGCCTCTCTGGCCTCCCGTCCTGGCCGCCTGAGGCTTCCTGCTAGCAGCTGCCCCTCCAGGCCCGCGTCCTGCCTGGCCAGGCCGCTCTGGGTGGGGGAGGCACAAAGCACGCACAGCACACAAGCAAGCTTCCGCTGGGGAAAAGAAAATGATCTCCGTCAGAAAAGATAATAGGTGACACAGAATTGGAAGGGAGAAAAAATAAATTACCTTCAAAATACCCCCATTGCTCAAAAAAATTGTTTTCTCTATGGTTTTCATTTTCCTTTTTATATATGTTGCTCTTCCCGGGGAGCCTGCTGACTCTTGGCTGTCCCGTCCTCAAAATGGATACTTGTTTTAAGAAAATACTCCAGCCCCCCTCCCCGCATACAGGTGGTCTTCGGCCTCCTCTGAGGACAGCCCCTCATGATCCCTTCACTGTGCCCGGCCCCTCACTCAGGGTCCTCCGTCTGTCTGTGTTATTAGCGCGTGCCTGATGCAAGGCGCATCCCGGCTTTGTTCACTTTGGGGGACCCTGGTGTGGTGCCCCAGTTCAAGACAGAACTGGATGACATTTGTTGAAATCCACGTTAGGGACACCTACTTCCAAACAGGGCTGTAAGACGGGGGCCTTCTGGGAGTTGACTGGAGAGGGTGTTAGCTGGGGGCTGGGCTGTACCCCGCTCTCCTAAGGCCAGGACTGGGGTGCATGCACGCCTGGCTCGAGGAGGGCGCGGGAGGCACCAGGAGGTAGAAGGCAGAGGGCGCCACCTGGCTGGCTGAGGACGGGGGCGGGGGCTCTGGGGCCGGGGCTTTTTGGAGCCCAGGGGCCGGCGGGGGTGCGGGGCAGTGCTGACCAGCACAGGGGCTCAGACATCCTGAGAGGCAGGCGTCGGTGCAGAGGAGGAACAAGGCATGGCTCAACGATCTCTTGCCCCAGCGTCGGGACCCTGAGGAGCCGGCAGGAAGGCCCTGCCCACACTGGCTGCCCCAGCTCTGCTGGGCCCGGAGAGACCTGAGAACCTGTGCCCTTGTCACTTGTCCCCAAGTGGCCCCCATCAGCATCTCTCCCATCCGCCCACAGCAGCAGGCCACGGAGACCCAGACCGGGCCTCCTGTGTCATTCTTCCTTCCCTGGAGCGCCTGGGGCCCGGGCCCGGTTCACAGCTGAGGCCAGTAGTACAGTCTCCATTTGGTCTAGATGTCCCTAGTGGTGCAAACGGCTGGGCAGGCAGGCAGGGCTCAGGGCAGTGGGGCAGTAGCTTGTTTCTCGCCGCGGGCGGGGCAGCCCGCAGCACGTGGTCTCACCCCCACACCCCGGCGCGCCTCGCCCGCTTCGGGCAGCCCAGCTTGTGCTATAGCACGTTGTAGTAGGCCATCTCCTTCATGGCCTGTTCGGTGAGGACGCTGGCCTCGGCGCTGCCGTCCACGCCCGCGTAGGCGTAGGCGTTCTCCTCGAAGTCCTCCATTTCCTGCTGGCTGTCGAGCTCCGATGGGTCAGTGCCCGTCAGCTCCATCATGGGGTCTGCAAGAGAGGGGCGCAGTCAGGCCCGGAAGCCGCCCCGTGGGCAGAGCCAGCCACTCCCACATGGGAAGCAGATGGCCTTTCTGAAGAAAAGACTTCCCGGGCATGGCTTCTAGAGGATTCTCAGCTGCCTCTTGGCCTTCCTGCTCGGGGAGGCCCCAAGGCTCCTGTGGTTCCTTGGATGGGTCACTAGAGCTGAACCCTGAAGCTGTGTGTGGTGCGGGGCGGGCGCAGGCCCAGCCTTGAACTCTTCTTTGAGTCAGGCTTCTATTGCCCTCCTAAGTCACTGAGCCCGAGTTCCGTACTCTCTGCAATGTCTCCCATTCGTCCTACGACCCGTAGTCATTTGCCACATGAAAGCCTGCCGCTCTACGTCATGTCTCTGTGATGCCACTCATTGAGTACCTACTGCGTGCTAGGCCCTTCACACACAGGATACCTGCATGCTCGCGGCAACCCCCCGGAGCAGAGCAAAAGGAAGTTCAGAGAGGTTAATCAGCTTGCCAAAGGGCACCCAGCAAGTGCTGTTGTTTTGATCCACTGTGCTGCTTTGCCTCCGATGGCCGCAGGGAGCTGGTTCTCTGACCTCCTGCCAGCATTAGTGCTTTGAACCGGTCCTACCCAGTGCTCTCCTCGGGCCTCGCTCTCCAAGGACGCACGCACACTGAGGTAGGTTAAGAAAGATGCACGAGGCAAGAACTCTAAGAGGCTTCTTGTGATTTTATCAAATAAAAATCCTGTTGTAAAGCTCTTAGTGTTAGAACAAAGCCAGAGGGAAAACGCCACGGAGGTGGCCTAGGGCTGTTTTCCAATGACTCACAGAGGGAGGGGGCCCCGTCCTGTCTGGGGACCCTGGGAGGCTGGCAGGCAGGGGCTGTGGCTGAGCCCCGACATGCGTTCTGCCCCGGTCCACCTAGATGCGATGTGTTCTGGCAAGCAGCAGACTCAGCCCAGCGGGGGGCAAACTCATCTGCAATTGAGACCCACTGGTCTGAGGGTAATCCCACTTCTTGCCACTGAGTGGTTCGGGAATAGGAATGGGACCCAGTTCTGGCCAACGAACCATGAAGAAAGGCCTGCTGGTGAGTTCTCAGAATGCTCTCATTGGTTTCATAGAGCAAAGGAGAATAGGCTCTTATTCTCCCACTGGATGAGAACAAGGAAGCACATTGCTCTGCAGGCCACTGGCAGCCATCTTGTGACCATGAGGAAGATCACAGCTAATGCTGTGGAGAGACAGAGGGAGCCTCAACCTGATGTCACTGGTGAGGGGCTGAATCAGACCCAGAAAATGGCCTGGACTTCAAGTCATTTCTTAAGTCTGTTTCCTTATTGTTTAAGGCAGTCTGAATGGGGTGTCTATTACTTGTGCCCAGAGCATCTGACACACTGTGAGTCTTCCTGACAAGAAAACAAGGCCAATGGTCTCAAATGTTATAGACCCTAGGCGCCTCTTCCTCCAACCCAAGTGCCAGACCCTCATATCATGCAGCTGATTAAAAACAAGCTAAATGGAGCACCCTGGGGAAAACTTCTGGATCTCTGTTACCCTGCTTTGTTTCTTCATTGACTCTATTGGTCCTGTCCAGCTGACCCCAGGAAATAGTCTGTACCATTTTTTACAAGGACATCGACCCACCTCCCACGTGACAGTCCCGGAGTTTATTAGGTGGTTCCATCTAGAGTGTACACGGCCTTCCTCATGCACGAGCGTCAGCCTGGGCTTCTCAGATCAAGCTTACACGCAAGAGGCAGGCAGACTCGGGTCCCAGCTGTTCCAGCACCATCCCCGCTTTCCTCTCTGTCATCTGGCTCAGACAGGGAGAAGACATCCCCCTCCTGCCCTGAGATGGAAAGAGCCTGCGCCTTACCCACCCCCAGGAGCACGGGCTCTGCTCTGGTCTCTCCGCGGGGTTCGAGATATGGCGGGTCCTCTAGAGGAGTGGCTCTAGGTGTGCCAACTCTACGGCACATAGAATTACCTAAAGTGCTGAAAAGTCCTGATCCGGGGCTGCGTGCCAAATCAGTTACATCCGGATCTCTGGGGTCGAGACTGAGGCGTCAGCATTTTAAAAAATTCCCCATGTGCTGCCAAGTCTGAGAACCAGTCCTCCAGCGTCTAGATCAAAGGGTCTCAAAGTGAGGCCGTTGACCAGCAGCTTCCGGACGATCTGGGAACTTGTCGGAAATGCAAATTCTTACCCACCCCACCGCAGACCCACAGACTCAGAAGCTGGGGGCGGGGGGGGGGTTGGGGGGGGAGGTCCCGCAATTTAACAAGACTCCTCATTATTCCGATGCACACTGAAGTTTGCAAACCGCCTTCTAGCTCCACGCTTCTCAAACGTCACTGTGCACACACGTCACCTGGGATCTTTCTGGAATCAGACTCTGATTCAGCAGGTCTAGGGGAGGCTGAGTCTGCAGTTCCAGCGAGATCCCAGGGGATGCCAACGCTGCTGGTTCTCGTACCTCATTTAGAATAGGAAGGGGCTACAGAGAGCATGGATGAGCAGCCAACAGGGTTTCATCCTCACCCACGAGAACAGAAAACTGAGCAGACCTGTTTCTGCCAGAAAACCCAGGCCATTACTCGTCAGCTGCTGCAGAACCCAATCAGGGCGATTGCAGCCAGCCACTGACAACTGATCGACTGTTAGCGAGTAATCTCCTAGGGGCAGGTCAGCTCCCCGGTTATTGGCGAGGCCCATCCCCAGCTAGTTTGTCTGAGAAGGAGCATCAGAAAGTCAAAGAGCAGCAGACTGTACAAGGAGCCTTCCTGAAGTGCCATGGGCTCCTCCTCACAATAAGGCCAGAGAGGCTAAAGTTCTTCCACTACTGATGAATGTCGCAGGGAGAGGCTGTCGCCGACACTTAGGGATGATAACAGCCCATGAAACCGACCGACTGTAGAGGTGGGGACCCTCTCGAGTATGCGCATTACGTTCTCTTTGGCAGGCACTATGAGGAGTGTGACTGACTGTGTTACACTCTTTGCCTTGGCTGCTGGGAAGCTCACAGCTCCCCTCTGCATGTCCATAGGACCTCCCATGGTACACTTGGAATTGTGACCTTACCTGGCTCTCCCTTATCTTTCCAGTTGTCATTTTCCCTTTTGTTACTTTCTTTCCCATCCATTTATTTTAAACGTCATCTCGTAGTAATGAGATGAAGTGTCCGTCACCTCCTGTGTGTTGCAGTCTAGGGTGAGTTACCTAACTCCTGACTTTCAGTTTCTGCATCAGTAGAGTGGGGATAATGAAAGGGCCGACCTCTGTGAGGGTCCTATGAGTTAATAAAGGCCTGGCACACAGTTAGCACTCAATAAATGTTAGTAGTTATTTTATTATTATTGTTTATGTGAACTCACTTAAGTCCTTTGAAGGATACACAAATATCCTCTCATTATCACCATGACGGCCCTCCCGGGTGCCCCCTCCCCAGACCTGAGCCCACCCCAAGGAGGTGTCAGGCCTGGCCAGCCTCCCCACCCCCCTGACCGGACAGGAGGCTCCTGAGTGTCCCATGATGGTACTGCTCCTGCTCTGTCCACTGCGCATGGCCCACCCACCTTGGCTGTCCAGGCCGATGTCCATGACGCCGTGCTTGACCTTCATGTGCCGGCTCAGGTTGCCCTTGAGGTTAAACTTGCTGGAGCAGTAGGGGCACTTGAAGGGCTTGCTGCCCGCGTGCAGGTGCATGTGGCCCAGCAGGTTGTACATGCGGTTGAAGGACTTCCCGCACACCTGGAACACACCAGCCAGCACCTTCAGCCTGTGCGGAGCCCGGCCTCCCCAAACCCCAGCCCACTCCCACTCCATGGCTGGGCTGGAGGCCCGTTCGCTATGGACGGCGCTCGCCTTGTCCTTTCCTATGTGACACCAGAGGCCCAAGAGGCTGAGAACCAAACCACCCCTTGCTGGCCACCATTCCTCTGGGTCTGCCCCACTCCCTCTGAGCTGGAGCTATCAGAAACCCAGGGCTCAGCTCTCTGACTGCACTGAGTGCCAGGCCTGGGCTCTTTCCCTGTGGCTGCACTGTGACCGTCACCACCCCTGAAACTCTGAAAAAACACAACTTCAGCAGCTTGTGGGACCTGAATCCCCCACTGTCCACTCCAGCCCCCAAAGCCCAGGCGGTTTCACTCAGCCCAGGCCGGCTCTCGGTGGGTCTCAGCCGCTGCAGTCCAGCTGACCGGAGGCCGCCCGTGGGGAAGTCCCGCCTCGGGCCCCGCGGCCTGGTACCTTGCATTTGAATGGCTTCACGGGTGAGTGGACAATCATGTGGGTCTTGAGGGTTTGCTTCTGCACGAAGGTCTTGAAGCAGATGTGGCACTGGTATGGCCGGACGCTGGTGTGGATCAGCATGTGCCGCTTCATGTTGGCCTGCAGGGTGAACTCCCGGCCGCACACCTCGCACTTGAACTCCTTCACGCCCTGCGGGGGAGGGAGGGGGGAGGATGGTCAGAGGCACGCAACGGGCACGGCCTCTGGAAGTGTGTGCATAGGGACCGCAGCGTCAGAGTGTGCGCAGTTCTGGGAAATGACTTCCTGGAGGGTTCTGAACAGGGACCACTTAATTAAAAGCACTGGGAGCATGTCCGCTTAGGGGCAGGACCGCTTACTCCAGGAAGCCTTCCAGTAATAGGTAGAGATTGGCTGGGTCTTATTGGTCCTACCCACATACCTGCTGTCTCCTGCCCACCAGGGCAGGTGTCCACACAGGTCATTCATTCATTCACCAGAGCCCATCCACTGACCCCTGAGTGCTTTCCAAGCCCCCTGGTGATAAGAACCACCTGCAGCTCTTGACCGCATAGCCGCTCAGGCGCTCCCTGGAGACTCCCACTCAGTGGGCCCAGGGAATTTCAATCCCAACATGGCCCCAGGTGATTCTTATCATCGATGAAGTTTGGGACAGCGCCCCCGGAGACAAAGACTCCGGGGAGAACCCTCTGGTTTGGACTGTCAGCACGCTTCTCCATGGAGGTGAGCCCCGAGCAGGAGAGGTGCTGGGCACAGAGGGTGCAACTCATCGTCTGGGGAGGAGAGCTAGGGCACAAGCTGCGGGCTCAGCTCTTTGCTGGCTAGTTCAGTAGAACCGCAGTGGGACAGACACGTTTCTGTGGTCACAGCCGCTGGCCCCATGGCTCTCTTGGTGCAAAGTCTCGTATTACAACCTAATGGTTTCCACGTCAGTTTCTCTTAGCAGACGGGCCACACGTCTTGTACACTCACTGGACACATGGAGGATGTGAATGACCACCAGGGGGCCCTGCCCTTTGGGAGCTTACTCTGTAAGCGCATGCTATGCACACTGTACACATTTAGGCTGAGGGCAGGGACGTTTTCAATTTTATTAGCCTTTGACTTTTGCTTTCAGCTTTTCTTCACAGTCTCACTTATCTTTCAACAGCTTGTGGGCTTGCAGGGATTTTTAAGTTCCCTAGTAGAGAAGAAAGATGGCAGGTCTATAGCACATGTACTTGTCACTCTCCACGCTCACCCCTGCAGGCATTAATAATCAATCATCTGGTTTCCAGCCAGCCCCAGGTTCGGCCTCAGAATCCTTCTTAACATCACACTCTAGGCAGCTACACCAGGTGACTGCAGGAGCACCTGCAATGAAACCTACACATCATCTCTGCTCTAGCGGAAAAAGTTCCCAGGGCTGGGGAAGGCTGCAGGCTTGGCCTGGCACGCTGCTACTCCCTCGCTCACTGTAGAGTCCACCGGGAGAGGGAAGGACACAGTTTGACCTGGAGCATCTCTAAGGCTGCCATGACGGAGAGAGGAGGCTCTGCACACTCGGCTTCAAAGCGTGAAGTGGGTTGGATTTCGGGTAGAAACCACGGCCAGGCCGAGCGCCAGAGGGCGACTGTGGGACCCGTGAGCGAGCAGAACAGTGTTGTTCAATTTTCCATCACCACAGACCGTTTTGCCGGGTTTAGCCATATTCCAGACCCAATCGGACTTTTCCATAACAAACATTTTTCCTTACATTTATTCCCTTTAAAAAGGAAATATATTCAGCTTTTTCTTAAAGGGAAGTCACAGGTTGTGAGAGGTGTTTATAGTTAGGAGGAGCAAAGGAAGCCCTCTGGACTTCTGACCATCTCATCCGTCTCCCCGTGGCATCCCGGCCTCGGTCCTCCCATCTATAAAGCAGGGAGGGTAGGTGACTTCAGTGGTTCTCCAACTGTGTTCCTTGGGGCCTGCCAGCATTCCGCAAACATTTCCCTCAAAAGGTTTCTTAAACAAGTAAGGTTTTACTATTTCAAAAGCTACCGTCAATTATATTTTTTCCTAATGCTCATCAAAATAAATACGTAACTGTAAAAGTAAATGTTCCTCCGTGTACCATGTATGTTACCACCTCAGTGATCTCATCCGGTCCTTCGGGAAGCACTGGATGAAAGGCTGGAGGAGGAGAAGGCAGCGCCCCCATGGAGGAGCCCCTGCGGGCCAGGGCCCCGCGGGAGGAGGCCTTACCTTGTGGGTGAGTGAGTGCTGCTTGAGGTGGTGGATCTGGCTGAACTCCATGCCGCACTCCGTGCACACAAAGGGCCGCACGTTCTGGTGCTTGAGCATGTGGTTCTGCAGCTGACTGCGGTAGTGGAAGGACTTGTCGCACTCGAGGCACTGGTAGAGGGTGGGGCCCTGGTGGGAGGCCAGGTGGCGCTTGAGCTGGGTCAGGGTGGAGAAGTCCAGGCCACACTCGACGCAGACGTGGCAGCGGCCGCTCTCGTGCTTCACCTCGTGGGCCTTCAGCTCGCTGGGGTAGGCAAAGCCACGGCCGCAGAAGTGGCAGCTGTAGGGCTTGACCTCCGAGTGCAGCAGCATGTGGCGCTTGAGGTGGCTGGTCTGCGTGAAGGCCTTCTGGCACACCTGGCACTTGTGGGGCCGCGTGCCCTGGTGCGTGAGCAGGTGCGTCTGCAGGTGGCTGGGCTGCTTGAAGAGCTTGCTGCAGTGCGGGCACGAGTGCGGCTTGATGCCGTTGTGGCCCAGGATGTGCGTCACCAGGTTGTACTTGGACGTGTAGGACTTCTCGCACATGCGGCACTGCCAGCGCTTCTGGCGGTCGCCCGCCTCCACCAGGTAGGAGTCGTCGATCTGCACGTTGATGTCCAGCCGGTCCAGCTGGGCCTTCTTGTGGCGCTCGGCCGTCGAGCCTGCCGCGTCCGCCTCGAACTCGGCCGGTTCCTGCCACACGAAGCCCTGCTCCGGCTTCACGGGCTCCGGGGACTCCATGGCGGGAGCCTCGGGGTCGCTCAGCGGGGCCAGGGGCGCCGGCTCGAAGCCGCACTCTGACGGCAAGGCCTCGGGCCCGGGCAGCGCCACGCCGGGCTCGGGGAAGCCGTGGCGCGCCGGCTCGGGGAAGCGGGGCTCGTAGGCGGCGGCGGCTAGTTCGGGCCGGGGTGCTCGGGCGGGAGGCCGCGGCGGCCGGGGCTTGCGGCTGAAGGCGCTCAGGTCGATCATCTTGACCGCGCTGCTCTGCACCAGGGCCTCGCAGCCGCCCCCGGCCGCCTGCGCGGGAGCCTCCGCGGGGCCCGCATCCTTGTCATCGCCGGGCACGGACACCTCGTACACCTCCTGCTCCTCCTCCTCCTCCACCTTCTCGAACTTGACCTTGGGCACCAGGCGCACGGGCGGCCGTGTCTTCCGCCGGGTGTGCTTCTCGAAGGCCGCCTCCACCTCCAGCACCTCCTCCTCCGCCGGCTCCTCCAGGGCGCGCCCGTTGCAGGCCAGCTGGTAGACGTCGGGGCCCTGGGTCCTGGGCTCCCCGACAGCCGCCCCGGACAGCTCAGGCCCCAGGTCCGGGTAGAAGGCTTCGGCGCTTATGGTGGCTCCGAAGAGCTCATTTTCCGAGACCAGGCCCAGCACGGCAGCCTGAGCCAAGGACAGCACCACCACGGCATCGGTCTGTGTCCCTGAGTCCATGAAGCCCTCCATCCCTCGGCGGCTGGCTAGGAGGGCATCGCTGTGGGAGCAGAAGGGAACGTCACTACGGCTGCTCGGCACTGCACAGACAGACCACAGACAGACACACATTCAGCAAGGGCTCGGCGACTTCCGGTGTCTGTCCCTGACCACTTTCTACTCCTGCCTTGGGAACAGGACACGCTAATTACGCGGAGCAAGGACACCCTCTGTGAATCTGACCATCTCTATCTCCTAGGGATCCGGAGTAAACCCTGCCGGCACACCCCCCCCCCCCCCCGGCTGGCCTCAGTCTTCCCATCTGTAAGGCAGGGAGGGTGGGTCTCATCAGTGGTTCTCAAACTATGTTCCACGCATCCTTCAGGAGTGCCTCAAAATTCGGATTCAGTGTCGCAAAAAAATATTCTTCTATTTTTAAAAACCTATTTTAGAAAACCCATCTACTTAAATGTAATATAGACTGCATTCCTACACATTCAGTTGCCCTGCTGGCTTTGTTGCCAAGGTAATTAATTTTGCACAGACCTTGAGACTGTACGGTGAGGTGTTAACCAACTGTCACCATCTGCGACGGCTTGGCCATATAAACGAGGTGTTTGGTTTAAAAAAAAAAAAAAAAATATATATATATATATACCAGGCAAAAACAAGGCAATGCAAAAAAATAAACTAGGTGGTGAGGCCAATCTCAGAGGGCACTCCTCACCTGTCAGCCTGATGCTAAACGTCTGTGGCGGTCACCACAGGTCATTGTTCTTGATGAGCTAAACGTTATAATTTAAATATTTAAATTTATACTGATGGGAAAAACATAGCTTTTATCTGATTTGTACTGGAATTCTAGGTAAGATCTGATTGGAAAGAAGGGCTCTGTGATGGCTAACATGTCTGAGACAACTGTTGGGAAACGAATGCTAAAACCAGATCCCAGGTTCATGGTCACGCTCTCTGATCTAACCACTTCTTCTAAAAGAGCCAATGTGCCCACCTGCCCAGGTCCAGACCCCGGGCGCTTCCTGCCTTTCTCAGGGCTACAGCTGTGCCTGTGAGCTCTGCAGCCTGGCCTTCACACGCCGCCGGGTCCCCCACCCCACTGAGCTCCTGGCTCCTCCCACCAGCCTCCCAGGCTTCTCCCAAACTCCACCTGTTCAGGGCCTCCCCAGGACTTTGGTGGCCCAGGGAGCAGTGCATCCCGGATGTGGGAGGGCCTCCTCCCTGGCCTCGGACACTCCTTGTGATTGGACCCCCGCCCCCAGCTCAGCGCCCCGCATGTCAGAGGCGCTCCATGGAGAAGAGGAAAGACATTACTGGGGTGGCTCCTGCCCGCCTCGCCTGCTTTCCTCCCAGGACCGGGGTCAGGCACATGGCCCCGGCCCTTCCTCAGGAAACCGGCGCCCGGCCTGGTGTCTCCCTTCCCCCACAGCCCAGCGGAGCTTCCCCTTCCTGAAGCCGACTAAAAATAAAATACCCTAGACAGGAATTCAGCCTCCTTGAAAGGGACACTAAAGATTAAACTATTAAGCTGAAAGTGGGGCTCTCGGGGAGGGGTGAGGTGGAATGGAACCTCTGACACCAGTCCATCTGGAACAGGCTGGAGGGGCTAAACCTGACTCAGAGACCACGCCCACCCGCCCACTGGAAAGAGCACTCAACTGGGAGTCAGCCAGCTTGGCCACAAGTCTCAGCCCTGTCATTAACAAATGACTAAGCAAAGTCACTTCAAAGTCACTTCTGAGCCTCAGTTTCCCCATCTAATACATGGGGATGAAGACACCTCCCCATGGAAGGGCTGTGAGAGCCCGGAGGACAGGATGTGGGTGAAGGGGCCCCGATAATTCTAAAGCCCTCGGCAAGTGAGGAATCACTGTTATTATGTCTGCCCCGATCTTGGAAGAGGCCGTTTCTGATGAGAGCCACAGAGCGGAGGCAGTTCTCCATTCTGGGGTCCCAAATTCAGCAAAGGTTTGGGTGATTCAGCAGACATCCTCCGGGGACCAAGAACTCATTCATTCATTCATCCGTCCGTCCGTCCATCCATCCATCCATTCATTCATTTGTGTGAGAAGTATCTGCTGAATCACCGCCATGGGCAAGGCCCTGTGCTGGGAGGTGCAGGGCGGAGGAGGCAGGGTCCCTGCCACCTGGAGGCCATAGAGGAGGCCCCTGTGCCCACCACAGCCACCCAGTGGGAAGCGGCACTGCCTTGGCCGCAGCGGCCTGTCTGACACGGCGCCGGCAGCCCCCGGCAGCAGCCCTCGTGTCGGCTGCGGGTTTGAACAAACAACAAACTCGGCATTTTTTCTGGACTTCCCCAAAGGCAGGCCCAGCAGAAGGGAGAAACTGGCCTTCAACAGTGGGGCCCATGCCAGGGACTCAGCCCTGGATTCCGAGTCCAAATCCAGGCTTTGCTCTCTTGTCGTTCGGCGCATACCCCGCCGTGTCCCGAGCCTCAGTTTCCTCGTCTCTATGAAGGGGTACGCAGTGCCCGAGTGCGTGTAGTGAGGAGACGAGGTCAGGCTGTCAGTGTGGATGTTAGTTCCCTTCCCTGTCTGTTCCAACCGAGCCCCAACACCCGGCACCACCCCCTCCTCAAAACCTCAAGGGAAGGGGAGCGAAGAACCATGAACATGGCTCCATCGGTGGAGGAGCCCACGAGAAGTCAGGCAGCGCCTGCCAGTGGGAGCTGGGCACAGGGCTGGTGTGGTCCCCTGCAGGGAGGGGCATTTACCATCCCTGTTAGGAGGGAGCTCCTGAGCGTGAAAGGGACCACTCCTGACAATCACACCAGGACCCCTGGTGCAAGCCGAGCCTGCCCCCCGCTACCTGGCGAGCCCTCCCTATGGGGACAGGCGGGCGGTTTTGACTCTGGTGCTGAGGACTGGAGAAGGTGCTTCTGTGTCTGGGTGTGAAAGGGGACCTGCCCAGAGTCCGTGCCCCTGTGTGATGCATGCCCAAACTGGGGGGACATGGGAGTGCCAACAAGGAACCACAGACAGGTGGAAGGGCCAGCTTCCTCTTACTGAGTGCTCACAGGTCCCAGGCGAGACATTTAATCCTAACAACAACCCCACTGGGGGTGCAGGTGGGTGTGGTGTGCACCCCATTTCACAGCCCAGGAAACGGGTCTAAGTGACATGTCAAGAGTGCCCTGTCAGTCAGGGGCAGAGCTGGGCCTGCCCCTGGACCTGTCTGGCCCTGTCGCCCTGCTCTGCTCCTTCGGCTATGCTACCTGGGAGGTCACGTCCTGGCTCTGGGCCTGGCCTCCTGGCTCACAGGTGCCCCTGCCCACCCCAGATTACGAGGAGCCAGTGGGAGCGCGTGGGCAGGCCCTGGGCAGACTGCGATGTGAGGCCTCAGGCCCGTTCCTGTCTGGCTGGTCCAGGGGCCCACCCAGACTGGGGAACTGGAACCCCCAGAGGGCAGCCAGAGGGCCCCCTGGGTCTCCACTCAGACAGCACTTCTTCCTGAAGGCTTCATCCAGCATCTGCCAGCTGGCCAGGCAGGCCCCTGCTCCCTGTTACAGTGGATGCCACCTGCCCGACCGGGACACACAGTGCCCTGTAAGCACACCTTTAATGGGGCTTATGGGGTGGGCTGGGCCTCATGTCCATGTTGCCCGGTTCCTGGGGCAGGGCGGCCAGGCAGGCCGTGCGTGCGTGTGCATGTGCGCGTGTGTGTGTAGGAGGGAGGGGCTCTGTTTGTGGAGACAGAGGCCAAGAGAAAGACGAGGGAGGGAATCTAATTTACCTGCATTTCGCATGCGTGCTCTGTCTGTCTATCACACAGAGAAATGAGCAGTGGCGAGCCGGGCTCTGCAACCCCGGCATCACTATTCCTCCTCTGGGCCATCGTTTTGCTCTACCGCCCCCTCTGGATCCTTCTCACAAGCTCCAACCCTCCTGTTTTACGCCCTGGCATGGAGCTGCCCAGGGCAGGAGGAGAGCCTGCCAGGTGCGCACCACCTGTGTGCTGGGGTGCCCCCCAACAAGGCCCCTTTTTGTCATCTGCTGGGGGGGGGCCCTTGAGGCCCCTCCCTCCCCAGGGTAAGGCCTCTCCCTACTCCTGGAGCTTGGGTCTCAGAACAAAAGCTCTCCACAATGTCCAAGAGGAAGGGGAGCTCAGACTGCCCGGGGCTCTCCAGGGCTCGGGAGGGGCGTCCACCAGCAGGGACGCATGGGCCTCCTGCCAGGCCCCCTCGGTCCCCAAGGGGAAGAGAAAGGAAATGGCAAAGGCAGGGAAATAGAGTAGCTGCCTGATTGTAGTTTAAAGACTTGTGCTGGGAGTGGAGGGGGGAAGGGAGGCCACAGCAGAGAGAGAGAGAGAGAGAGAGAGAGAGAGAGAGAGAGAGAGAGACAGGGAGCGAGGGAGGGAGGGAGAGGAAGGGAGGGAGGAGGAAAATGAAGAGACAGGGAAGGGGGAGGGGGAGTCCATGAGACAGGGGAGGGAAGAAGGGAGGGAGAGAGAGAGGCTGAGGAGGCCAAGAAACAAAAGCAGAGGAGGGGGAGGGGAAGGAGGAGAGCGGAGAGAGAGGAGGGACTGTGCGGTGACACCAGAAGCCCAGGGCTGGCCTATTTCCCAGGGCTCAGCATCACCCGCTCTGGGGCCTGAGGGCTAGGCCAGCCCCCATGGGGAGGGACCCAAGTCTCATCCTCTGAGGTCCAGAAGGAGGCCTGTGCCACCCGCGCAGGGACCTGGGCCCCCCAGAGGCCTCCCCTGTTACTTCATCTACTGCTCCACTGGGGTTCCTGTGAACAGTGACACAAGCTTGTCAAATGAATTAACGAGTGACTTGTTATGGGCAAGCCACCTGACCCCTCAGGATCTCAGTTTCTTCATCTGTAAAATGGGCACAAGAGGCTTCTTGGAACCTCAAGGGTGGGTTAACCTCTAGGTTAACCCTCAACGCCCTTGGCCTACCTGCCTGTCATCCAGGGTCCCTCCCTAAGACCCCCTTTTCACACCCCTGCTCTCAGGGGAGGGTCGGGGAGCTACAGGCGGCCAGTGTCCCTGGAACACAGACGGTGGGACAGAGCTCTGGTG